GCAGAACTCAAATTCTAGTAAAAAGACCAGACTTAATGGTCTGACTTAGGCTGGAGGGACCATGGAAGACAAGGCCCCTAGAATCTCTGTTAGCCCAAAACTAAAACCATTCCCGAAGCCAACTCTTCAGACAAAGATTAGACAGTACTATAAGACATAAAATGATACTCATGAAGAGTGTGCTTCTTAGGTCATGTAGATGCAAGACAAATGGGCAGCTCCTGTCTGAAGGCGAGATGAGAAGGCAGAAAGGGACAGGAGCTGGTTGAATGGACATGGGAAATCCAGGGTGGAAAGGAGAAGTATGCTGTCACATTACAGGGAGAGCAACTAGGGTCCCATAACAATGCGTATATAAATTTTTGTATGAGAAACTAACTTGAATTGTAAACTTTCACTTAAAGAACAATTAAAAGAAGAAAAATTTAAAAATATACACTAAAAGCAATCAAAAGAAGGCAAATCTAGAAAGTCTGGTTCTCAGATCAGTTCCTAAAGTCAGCAGAGCAAGTCGACTGTTGTTAAACCAAAAACAGACCCACTGTCATTGAGGTGATTCTGACTCATAGCAACCCTATAGGACAGGGTAGAACTAGCCCACAGGGTTTCCAAGGAGTGGCTGGTGGATTTGAACTGCTGACCTTTTGGTTAGCAGCCAAATGCTTAACCACTGCACCACCAGGGCCCCACCATTGTTAAAGGGGTCTTTTAATCCAAAGATGTTCCCAAGACTCATTATCCAGAAGGGTACCCCACCTGTAAGACAATAAGGTTCTACTGCCTTTTCATATCCTCAAGTGTGGCAAGCATGCCACAGACAAAATTCAGCTGTGGTTATCCATTAAGCTCCATTTAAAATTCCTTGAATCAGCTGAACTCTGCATTACACAAATAAGGAGAAAGTATGGTGCTGGTGTAGTAAGAGCACCCATTTAGTAACAGTACAACTGCCTAAGTGATGGTGTTAGTTTTTGTTTCTCCTTCAGAAGAAAGTATAAGTTCACCTCACATGACCCAGGTCCTCTAGACTAACAAAGGGGAAAACTAGGAATACTCCTGTACTTTCAGTGTCTTTAGGTCTGCAGACAGTGAAGTAGAAATGAGGCCTTACTGTGGGGTGGAAAGAACTTTCTTCATGTAGGGAATTTACTCCCAACTTGACAAAACTCAAGCTTGTGCCATTTCAGAGTTTATTACCAAACCCTTCAAAGTGTGCTAATTTGTCACTGAACAAATGAAAACTGAGCATAATAGGAAAACTAAGCCTAATTAGTCATGTAAAAACCTAGCCAATAAAGCCCCTAAAATAGAAAGATGGCCTCTTATAACACAAGCAGTAAAATTTTCCAAAGAAAGTCAGCACAACTGGACGAAACCAGAGCTCAGAAATTTCCTGAATACAACCAAACACGTCAAGGGACAGAGTAGCAGGGGCAGGAGTCTGGGGACCATGCTTTCAGGGGACATCTAGGTCAATTGGCATAACAAAGTTTTTTAAGAAAACGTTCTGCATCCCACTTTGATGAGTGGCATCTGGGGTCTTAAAAGCTAGCAAGTGGCCATCTAAGATGCATCAGTTGGTCCCAACCACCTGGAATAAAGGAGAATGAAGAACACCAAAGACACAAGGAAAGTATTAGCTCAAGAGACAGAAAGGGCCACATAAACCAGAGACTTCATCAGCCTGAGACCAGAGGAACAAGATGGTGCCAGCTACCACAATGACCACCTGGACAGGGAACACAACAGAGAGTCCCTGACGGAGCAGGAGAAAAGTGGGGTGCAGAACTCAAATTCTAGTAAAAAGACCAGACTTAATGGTTTGATTGAGACTGGAGGGACCCTGGAAGACGTGGTCCCCAAGCTGTTAGCCCAAAACTAAAACCATTCCCGAGGCCAACTCTTCAGACAAGACTGAGCAATGGGACATAAAATGATACTCGTGAAGAGCGTGCTTCTTAGCTCAAGTAGATACATGAGACTAAATGAACAGCTCTCATCCAGAGGTGAGATGAGAAGGCAGAGAGGTCAGGCGCTGGTTGAATGGACACGGGAAATCAAGCGTGGAAAGGAAGAGTGTGGTGTCACGGTATATGGAGAGCAAGTAGGGTCACAAAACAATGTATGTATAAATTTTTGTATGAGAGACTAACTTGAATTGTAAACTTTCACTTAAAGCACGAAAATAAAACTAAAAGAAAAAAAGTTTCTGAAGGCTTAATTTTGTTTTCACTGTATAGCTAGAACTCATGTAATATGCATGTTTATTTGTAAACATTTTTCTTGAAAAATGGTGTTTTATAGATAATCTATTCATCTTTGCAGATATTTAACATGTCACTACACAAAATGGAAAAATACTTAAAATTACTTTCAGTATTTCAAATTTAGCCAGCTGCACAGATCCAATCAAACTGTTAATGGTAGCAACCAAGTGAACAGAATTTCTTATGCTCATTTAGACAAAATCTATGTACTTCAATGAACTGAAAAAATGGGGTGGTAAGACTTACTTGCTACTCCTGATGCAAGTCCATAGAGCAGTCCTCCCCCATCAGATTGCTGAGGAAAAACATGGGCTCCTGGAGGAGGTGGTTTTTCTTGTCTGATAAAGTTATACAGTAAGGTTTTCACAAGTTTGCTGGTGTAGGAAAGACTATAGAAAAAAAAAAAAAGAAAGAAAAACTCCCATTTATGGCAGTCTGCTGATTCTGTATAATGACACAGAAATAATTTTGCCATTAATATAAACGGGTTAATACAATTCAAATAAATGCTAGCACTGTCAGATAATAGTGAAGACCATGGGCTTTGTGGTCAGACCTGAAGTTTAATTCTTACTTTGCCTCTTACTACAACAGAAACACTGGTAAAATCGCTTAAAACTCTTTGAGCATCAGTTACCGCATCTGTAATCTGTATAAAAGTGTGAGATATTATAAATTCAGTGCATAATATACTACCTCACAGTTGGAAAAATGATAGGAATATAAAACCAGAAGGGAAAAGCAAGAATTAATAATAAAAGGGTACTTTTTAAGTATGAAATTTATACCTGCACACAAAAATATGTGTATAGGTGTTTTAATGGTAATACTTTTTGCTTTTAAGTTGTGATGGGAGAAGAAGGGAGAGAAAATAGGTTAAAAGGGATATGTGTTCAAAAATTGGTGATAAAACCAATTTCTATAATCTAGAAGAAAATTTTAATAGACTCTTGAATGTACTACTGAGCTTTTTAAAATATGGCTTCCAAGATGAACCAAAATTAGGTAAAGAGCACATAATGGGTTTAAATATCTGGAACCACATACTATAAAAACCTAACAACTGAGAAAATAAGAACATCAGCATTCTCTATGTGTATGAAAAAGGCAACCTCAATACCTCATACACTGTAAAGAATGAAGTTCAGAGAGTCTTGTGAAACAAAGCACTACCTTCAAACCAAGGCCATTGAGAATGTCACTATCAGAGGTGTGTTTTCTGATAGGAGGTTATTGGAACACAAAGGAAATAATAATAGAAGTCTTATATCTTCTGGTTCCAAATCTCATGCCCTTTCTTATCAGTGATTTTCAAATATGGTTCCAAAGAGCCCTAAGGGGTTCTCAAAATGTGCCCAGGTATAATCAAGGTAGAAGGAAGTTACTACAGAGGCAACCAAGGTAGTAAGAAGGATGTGGAAAAAACAAAGCTCCCAACTCCCTGCACACTTTAATCAAAGCTGCTTTATTTTATGTTTTACAATTTAATGTTCTGTGAAGATTAAGTCAACAGGAGGGGTGTGCAGATGCGCTCGGATGTGTGTGAATTTAGTACTTATCTATTCCCATCACCATCAGCTAGGAGACTGAAAGTTCTGCTCAGCATCATAGCCCCAGACCCTAACACAATGCCTGGCACTTGGTAAGCACACAATAAATATTTGTTGAATAAATGAAGGTAGGAAAAATCAGTTAAGAGGCTGTTAGGCAGATGGAGTAGTCCAAGCACCTGGTGATAGGGCACAGATGACAGTAGCTTCAAAGGGACTGGTGAGAAGAGGAAGATACAAAAATAATTTTGAATGAACAAATATGACTTGATAACTGCTTACACATAGAGAATGAAGGGAAAGGAAGAAGAAAAACGACTTCAAAGTGTCAATTCTACAAAGCAACTACTGGAGAACCTAATAAGCTGAGGGACTAGAGGGGCAAGGAGACACGGAGAGTTTGAACAGGAAAGCAGAATCTCGTTCCACATATGTTGGACCTGAAGTAATGACAGAACAATCAGTGGAAACATTTAGTTGGGATAACACTCAGGTAAAAGGACAAGACCACAAATACAGGTTTACACAATAAAAAAACTAGGTAAATTTAAAAAAGAAACATACCATCGACCCTGCATCAAATACTTGTGACTGATGCTCTCTCGTAAAACTTCTTTGTGAAAGAGTTGGCAGGAAAGAAAGACAACCATTGTTGATACAGCTTCTAGTGATATTTCATATGTAATATCTCTGGAAAAATGAGGAAAAAAACAGGATAATGATCACTTTGCAAGATTAAGATACTGCTCTTTTTGAAATACACTATACATTTAAAAACACAAATCTAAATATTCAACATTTTTCTAGATTATAAAAAAAATACTAATACGTTTAACATAAAAATTAAGTCGAGAGAAAACACTAAACCCTTTCCCAGTCATCAGCTCTAGAATTTGGATCTAGTATCCCATTATTTCCTTATTTTCCAGTTCCCGTCTCCTTACTGAACGACAAGTCTATTCATGCATAAGGGAAAGAGTTACCAGCAGTGTTCTGCTTTGGAGATTCACTCTAGAGCCCTTAGGTTGACACCTATTTAGTTATAGTCCAGAAACAAATACTCAGATTGTAAAACTGAATTCACAGTGCAGGGAAGAAAACAACGCCTTGTGGAGCTGATAATCACTTTACAATAAGGACAACGTTATACCCCAGATCTTCTGTCTCCAGTGTCCACTTTCTCAAAACCAACTTCGCATGTTTAGCAAGATAAGAACAGTAAACAAATCACTACCGTTTTATTAAGCATATTTCCATTATGAAAGACTACCTTTATTCTCCCAAGATGTTAACCCCTTTTAGAAACAAATCAAATAAAAAGGAAATAAAGTTTCGATTTAGCACGCAGCTCAGGAACAAATGCATCAAGAAATCTTTAGTTGCTGCAAAGCTTAAACAGGATTATCATGGGGAACAGTAAAATGTTAATACCAGGGAAGTGGAAATCTCAACAACATAGCAAAAAGGGTAACTTCAAAAGATTACCAAAATATTTTTACAGAACTGAAGTATTCATGCAAAGCCCAAAGAAAAATACTTAACATCTATTTAGGTGAAGGTTCATTAAGCAAATTAAAAATTACTTGATTCTAGAATCGGGCAAGCTTAAATTCAACCAGATACTTTAAGGACTTACTGCTGCTAGAAATATATTTTTAAAACAAAATATACAGAACAATACCAGAGGCCCATGCAACTGACCTTGTTATATAATGAATAAATCTCAATTCTACTCAGAAATCTGACTTTTGAAGTACTGAAGAACAATTCTTTTTTTTCCCCTAAAATTTTGAAAATTATTTGTTGTATGTATTAACCACACAAAAGTCAATTCTTATATTTACTTCTCTCCTGAACTGAATCTAGGTGATTTCCAAACTTTCACCAAAGAAATCCTAGGCAAAATTTCGTGACAAAAAATACAGAGCTGAAGATTATAACTGAATTCACAGATAGATAATGTCATGGATTGAACTGTGACCCTCAAAAATATGTGTATCAGTTTGGCTAGGCTATGATTCCCAATACTGTGTGATTGTCCACCATTTTGTCATCTCTTTGTGATTTCCCTATGTGCTGTAAATCCTATCTCTATGATGTTGATGAGACAGGATTCCTGGCAGTTATGTTAATGAGGCAGGACTCAATCTACAAGATTAGATGGGTCTCAAACCAATCTCTTTTGAGATATAAAAGAGAGAAGCGAGCAGAGAGACATGGGGACCTCATACCACCAAGAAACAAGAGCCAGGACAATAGCACGTCCTTTGGGTCAGAGGTCTCTGCGCTGAGAAGCTCCTCAACCAGAGGAATATTGATGACAACGACCTTCCTCCAGAGCCGACAGAGACAGAAAGCATTCCCTTGGAGCTGACAGCCTGAATTTGGACTTGCAGCCTACTAGACCATGAGAAAAAAAATTTCTCTTTGTTAAAGCCATTCACTTGTGGTATTTCTGGAATTAGATATTGGTGATGGTTACACAACTCTGTACTATACTAATAACCACTGAACTGTATACTTTAAAAGGGTGAATTCTATGGCATGTGAATTATAACTCAATGAAGTTGGTATTCAAAAAAAAAAAAGAGACAAAGCTCTCTAAATGATTATGTGGAAAGACTGTCAAGACTGATTGTTAAATATCGGAAAAAAAAGTTCAAAACAATATGTATAATTTTCTACCTTCTGTGTAAGAAAAGGATGAAATAAGAATCTATATTCATAAATGTGTATATATGCATGAAAATTTTCAGGAAGGATACATAAGAAACAGTGGATACTTACGGAGGCAGATGGGAGGGCTGGGAAGATGAGAAACAAGGATGAGAAAGAGACTGCTCATGTACACTTTGTATGTGTTTGAATTTTTGAACAATATAAATTTATCATCTATTTTTAGAAAGTTAAATAGCTAAAAATTGAGGATTTCCAGAAATGTTCAAAAGTAAACTTTTATCAATTAAAATCTGATGACATATTAAAATAAGAGCCAACAAAAAACTAAGTCACCCAAATCACACTGTGGTATGCTGCAGGAGCCACAGGCCCAAACTTCGGAAACTAAGATCTGCTTGTAAGTTGTCTATTAACTTGCTCTGTGAACTTCAGCAAATAACTCCTCTGTGTCAGTTTTCTTATTTTTAAATAAGTACACCAAACAAGATGATCTCTAATGCCATTTCCTGCTGTAACTTTCTATAATGCTCAGAAAAGGAATTGAAGGCAATGTTTGGCTTTAGGGAAGACAAAATTAAAAATATATTAATTGGGCTCTCTTAAGTGCCAAATAATCAGGGGAAAGCGTTAGAGAAGCCAACATTTGAAAGAAACCAAAATTCTACCATGCTGAGTGTGGTGGTTCTTAAAAGAAGAAAAATGTTTTAATGTCCCTGTAAAATCTTCAGAAGATTTTCATTACACAATTGCCAACACAAAATCAACTTTAAACAGCCACAATGTTACCCTGGCTGTCACAGTATCCCAGGAACTTTCCACCATCTGGTCTGGAAATGTCCTAGAACACACTACTGTTGGAGCAAGTTATTAATTTCATGTGAAGAAAAAAAAAACTGTTGTAATGACCTTGTACTGCTATGCTGAGGCAGAGTGGAAGACTTGGATAAAGACAAAAGCCTCCATGAAATGGTGTTAGTGTTGGCTAAGGACAAGCTCAAGGACTATGGAGGGAAAAAAAACATGTTCCCCGACTTACTACTGGATAAGAAATCTAATGGTATTGTACATGGAACATGAGTTTAACAAAAACAACTAATGAGTTTAAAGGCTTAAGACCAAATTTAAGAAACATCAACATAGAGATTCCAGGAGTCAAATATGAGGAAAGACTTAAAAGTGGTATATTACATATACTAACTATCTTAGTTATCTAGTGCTGCTATAACAGAAATACCACAAGCGGGTGGCTTTAACAAACAGAAATTTATTTTCTCACAGTTTAGGAGGCTAGAAGTCTGAATTCAGGGCACCAGCTCTATGCGGAGGCTTTCTCTTTCTGTCGGCTCTGGAGGAAGATGCTTGTCTCTTTGGGCTTCTGCTCCTGGGAGATCTTCATGTGGCTTGGCATCTCTCTTCCCACATCTGAGTCTTTAGCTTGTTTAATCTCTTTTATTTATCAAAAGAGACTCATTTAAGACCCAGCCAACAATAATCCTGTCTCATTAACATAATAAAGACAATCCATTCCCAAATGGGGTTGTAACCAGAAAAATAACATATTTTGGGGAGACAAAGTTCAACCCATAACACTACAAAAATACTGATGTCTACTTTGAAAAGTTAACAAATCAAAGAGATGTTAATACTCCTCATGTATAAGAGTTAACAAAGGAATAAAGTGCCTAGGGATTAGGAGTCAAGAAATCTGGATTCTAGTTTCAGACATCCCACTCTAGTCTCAGACCTGCCACTTTATCTTTCAAATTCATCATCTAAAAAATGAGATGTACCACATAAACTCAAATATCCATTCCATGATTTTATGGTTTCTCAAATACTACATATGTAACAATGCAACAAATGTACAAAATATAGTCTAGTCACAGATCTTCTTGAAATAAAGTTCAATGCAAAAAGAGCTTTTATAAATATCCTAAAAAATAAAAAATTAAGATGGATCGATTAAATAGATACCCAATGATAAAGCAAATATAGTAAATTTATAATTATTAGAGAATCTGTGGTGTGTACATGGGTGTCCAAAGTGCAATTAGTTCAACTCAAAACTTTGCACTTATAAAAAAAGGAAAAATCAAAGAACAAGAGCTTTCAGGAATTAAAAATAATAGCAAAAACTGATTGAAAAGGAACTAGAAATGACTTTTAAATAGTGAAGAGATGCTCAATCTCATTCATAATAAGAAAATACATCAAAATCACAACGTGATTTCCATTTTTAACTTATCAAAAATGTGTATAAATAGGTAATACTGGCAAGGCACCATTAAGTGTTTTTGGTGGAAATATAATTGTTATACTCTCTGTAGATTACAATATTTACCAAATGTATCAAATTTTTATCAAAATATGAAATATGCATACTTAACAATTCCAACTCTAAGGTTTATATTATGGCTACATTTGCATAAGTGCAGAAAAAGTATCTACGTACATGAATATTCATTGGAGCATTGCTTATAACAGCAAAAGACTGGAAACAAACTAAACAATTTTTATGAGGCACTGGTTAAATTACGATATATTCAGACAATACATACACAGCTATAAGAAAATTAAAGTAGATCTATAGCTACTGATTCAGGAAAAAATCAAGTTAAAAGTGAAAAAAGCAAGCTGCAGAACAGTTTGTATGGTACAGTATCATTTTTATTTTTAAAAAATTTATACATGATACCACTGGTTGCCGCTGGGTAGAGGGACTAAAGGATTAGGGACCAAGGATCTGAAGTGAGAGGAAGGCTTACACTTTTTCTCTTTGTACTCCCTTTCATACTAATTTTTTTTCATGCACATATACTACCTATTCAGAAATGAGTCAAATATTCTAATAAAGATATTTGATGAGGTAGGTCAAAAGATACAAATCAAGAAATTTTCAACAAACTACAATTTAAAAAAACGAAACAGATGAAAAGTGTTGAGATAAGAGAGGCTAAATCTACAAAGTCTGATATTTGAACATGAATTTTAGAGAGATAAGGAAAAAAAGA